AATTCAGCTATTGAAACTTTTGTATGCTTTGCGAAGTTCTTGTGTTGTTTTTCAGCTCCATCAATTCATTTATATTCCTCTGTAAGCTGTTTATTCTCTTTAGCAATTTGTCAAACCTTTTTTGAAGGTTCTTAGTTTGTTTGCATTGGGTTAAAACATGTTCTTTTAGCTCAAAGAAGTTTGTTTTTACCCACCTTCTGAAGCCTGTTTCTGTCAATTCATCAGACTCATTCTCTATCCAGGCTTGTTTTCTTACTGGTGAGGAGTTGTGATCCCTTGGAGGAGGAGAGGCTTTCTGGTTTTGGGTGTTTTCATCCTTTTTGCGCTGGTTTCTTCCCAACTTTGTGGATTATTTACCTGTGGTCTTTCTAGTTGGTTACTTTCAGATGGGGTCTCTGAGTGGATGTCTTTTTTGATGGTGATGAAGTTCTTTCTTTCTGTTTTTTAGTATTCCCTCTAACAGTCAGGTCTCTCTGCTGTAGGACTGCTGGAGGTCCACTCCAGACCCTGCTTGCCTGGGGATCATCTGCAGTGGTTGCAGAACAGTAATAGTTGCTGCCAGTTTCTTCTTCTGCTATCTTTGCCCCAGAAGTATACCCACCAGATGTCTGTCTGAGCTCTCCTTTATGAGGTGACCCTGGATATACAGGGGTTGGGGAGTTGCTTGAGGAGACTGTCCTTTATAGGAGCTCAAGTGCTGAGGTGTGAGCTCCATTGTTCTGTTGAGCGCTGCAGGGCAGGTACATTTAAGTCTGCTGCAACAGAACTCATAACCACCTTTTTTTCCCCCAGGTGCTCTGTCTCAGGAAGATAGGGTTTTATTTATCAGTTTCTGTTGTGCTGCTGCCTTTTTTTCAGGGATACCCTGCCCAGCGAGGAGGTTGTGTAGTCACAGTTTGCCAGCAGAGGCATTGCTGAACCGCTGTGGGCTCTGCCCAGCTGCTGTGTGCACTTCTTTCAGTTTCATTTGTAGGGGTATAGTTAGAACTGCCTTGGTGATGGCGGCCCACCTCTGCAATGGTGACCCACCTCTGTAATGGCAGACTCTCTCTGTAATGCCGGACTGCCTCAGTAATTGTGGGCTGTCTCAGTAATGGCGGGCTGCCTCCGTAATGCTGGACTGCCTCAGCAATGGTGGACTATCTTGGTAGTGGTGGACTGCCTTGGTAATGGTGGACGCCCTTCCGCCACAGAGCTGGACCATCCCACGTTCAGCTGTGCTTGCTGTGAAACTCTCAATTTAGAGCGTTTCAGATTGCTGGTCTATGTGGGGGTGGGACCAGTTGAAACGGTTTCTGGATGTCTGTGAGTTTTTGTGTGGAAGACTGCTGTGCCAGCTGAAACAGCCGTGTTGGAGACTTGCAGTGCTTTTCTGCCCAAGAATCTCCTAGCCTGGCTCCCTGTTACAGTCCCCTTTTTATCAGTTGAACGGGTGACTGTCTCCCAGGCATTCCAGTCACATGTTGGAAAGATGCCCGGATTGTGTCAGTTTTTGTGTGGAGACCCTTTGCGCTGGCTGAAATAGCCACGCTAGAGCCTTCTGGCGCTTTTCCGTCTGGGAATTTCCTGGCCTGGCTCTCTGTTTTAGTCCTCTTTTTATCAGTTGATCGGGTGACTCTGTCTCCCAGGCATTGCAGTCGCCAGTTGAAATGGCCCCTGGATTTGTGTGAGTTTTTGTGTAGAGACCCGCTGTGCTGGCTGAAACACCCACGCTGGAGACTCCTGGCTCTTTTCTGCCTGGCAATCTCCTGGTCTGTTAGCAACAAAAATTTGTTTGGAAAGTCGGTGACCACTTAACCTATGCGTTTTTGCTAGGAGCTACAATCCTAGAGCTGTCCCTATTCAGCCATCTTGGATCCCTCTCAAACTTCTCTTTAACATACAATTTAAGCAGATTACTGCTAGAAATAAGAGTAACTGTGTGCCTAATTTGGATGGCCCAGGCAGATACCTTAGTGTGACTAGCTGCTGTTTTGGAAAATACTAAGTATACACAAAATGAAGAGAAGTTGTTGGCTTAACAGCATTGAAATAAAGCAGGTGAATGAAAGAATATTCGGAAACCAGGACTGCTATATAGGAGTCTTATGTTTGCATTCTTTGGGTTGTGTACCTGGGACTCCAATCACTGGATGACAGTTGTAAGGTTTATTACCGAGTCAAAATGAGGAAACTGAGGCCAGTATAAGAAAATGAAAAGCCAATTTATTCAGCTCCCAGTCAAAGTTCTGTGGTCCGGGAAGGGGCCAGAGAAGTCGCGCTTGACTTTTCTGGGTGTGGGGATTTATGGGCAGGGGGTGGTGGGAGCGATTGATTGGCTATTGGGGAAACAAAGCATAGGCGATTTCATTGGTTATTAGGGAGACAGGGCATGGATGTAGTGAGCTGCCATTGGTAGGCGGGAAGGACTACTGGTAGGTGGGCTGGCCGGGGACGTTCAGGCTGGGCTGCTATTGGACAAGTTTTGGTGAGGTGTTTTTTGGCCTCGGACTGGTGGTTGAGCACTTAGTTTGGTGCTTAATGTAGATCTGGGTGCGATAGCAGAGGTGAGTGTGAGGAATTCACATGGAGAAGCCAGATGCTGAGTAATGATGACGCAGTTATCAGGCATGAGCAGGGATGGGTGTGCCCGTCTAACTCCCTTCGAGGCAACCAGCCTTACAGCAGTAACTATGTTTAACTTACTGAGAACGTTTTTCCAAAGTGGCTATACCCATTGATATTCCGGTAGGATTACGGTTTCTTTTCATCTTCACCAATACCACTTAGCTTTTTTTTTTTTTTAATTCAGTTATCCACAGCAACTGATGTGGGCTGCTGAGAGCATTGCAAGGTTGGGACTGGGTGTTCACTTTTAATTTCTTAAGGTAGAGCTGAAAGCTTTTACATATGCAGCACTCAAGCTAATGGCTTTTCTTTCTATTTGAAGGTTACACCTCTGCTCTCTGGCTCTTCTTGCCTAGGAGGGATCCCTTCTGCAGAGCTTGACTTGCACATTATACTAACATTATACTTTTTTGGCCAATTGGATATGAGCTAATTGGTGTTACAGAAATGTGTTCTTATAAAAAAAGGAAGCTTACTTCTCCAATGCAGTTACTGAGTTTTGCTTGGTTTCTTCTGTTTCCTATATTGTTGCCTATGTTTACTGAGGCTTTTTTTTTTTTCTTCTATGAAAACATAATCAACTTTTGGCATTGTAATAGTTTTAAAGTCCTAATGATTAATACAGAGTGCTTCCATATGCCTTTCAGATTCTGTAACTGTTAATATTGTGTGACGTCTGTTATATCATTTTTCTCCATAGTTATTCTAGCATTTGAAGAGAAAGTTAGAGATAACCTGTGTCTTTTTACCTATCTCAGTTTGTTTGCTTAGAACAAGAATATTCTCTTAACCACAGAAGTTATTAATATCAGGAATTATAACACCTTTGATGACCTTGACATTGTTGAAGAACAGACCCCCATTTTGTACACTATTCCTCAAACTGGGCTTGTATACTTTTTAGTATAATCAGGCAATTCACTTTTTAAAAGAAATTATGGAAAAGTTTCCATAGTTTATCTTAACTATTTTAAATTGTATAATAATTGTATAATTCATTAGTAATGAGTGTATTTACATTGTTGTACAGCCGGTCTCCAGAATATTTTTCTTCTAACAAAACCGAAACTTGATACCCACTAAAAACAACTCATTTCTTCCTACTCCCATGCCCTCACAGTCATCATTCTACTTTCTCTGAGTTTTACTACTGTACCTAGCTCATGTAAGAGAAATCATACAGTATTTGTCTGTTACTAGCTTATTTCCCTTAGTAATGTCCTCAGAGTTCATCATGTTTTAGCATGTGGCAGAACTGTTTTGTTTTTAAGGCTGAATAATATAGCATGGTTTGTATATGCCAGATTTTATTTATCCACTCAAATGTTGATGGACAGGTTGTTTTCAACTTGTGATTACTATGAACAATACCTCTTTAAATATCTGTATAGATGAAGTTTTGTTGGTGACTTATGTTTGCATTCTCTGGATTGTATACCTGGACTCAAATTGCCGAATTACAGTAGCTATGTTTAACTTACAGAGAACTACCAAGTTTTTCCAAGGTGGCTATACTGGTTTATGTTCCAGTAGGGGTGTTATGGTTTCTCCTCATCTTCACCAATACCACTTAACTGTTTTTATTGATTCAATTATCCATTTTGCTGGTGCTGAAGAGAGATTATAATGTGATTTTGTTTTGCATTTATTTTATGGCAAATGATGATGAGCAATTTTTCATTTGCTTTCTAGCCATTTATCTATTTTTGAATAAATCTCTGTTAATATCTTTTGCTCATTTTATTTTTAAGACAAAGTCTCTCCATGGCCAAGACTGGACTGCGGTGGTGCAGTCTCCGCTCACTGCACCCTCTGCCTCCTGGGTTCACGCAATTCTCTTGACTCAGCCTTCTGAGTAGCTGGGATTACAGGCACATGCCACCACATCTTGCTGAGTTTTGTATTTTTACTATAGGTGGAGTTTCACCGTATTGTCAGGCTGGTCTCAAATTCCTAACCTCATGATCCACCTGCCCTGGACTCTCAAAGTGCTGGGATTATAGGCATGAGCCCCCATACTTGGCCAGTCTTCTCTGATTTTTAGTTGATTATTTTTCATTTTACTATTCAATTATGAGTGGTCAATGATTATTTTATTTTTCTTTCCATTTTTTGGTTTCGGTCTGTCTCCAGTGGATGAAGGACGATATATTGAAGTCTCTGGAAAGCAAACTCCTCCCTTCATATTTTGCATTGGCAGTTAAGGAGTCCTGATTGATCATTAATCAGTCCAGTTCTAGTTATATTAACATTTGATCTCAGCTTAATTGAGATTTGTGGATATAATTTTATTTAAGATAATATTCTTTAAAATGGAAAATGTGAAATATTAATAGCACATGAGTTACATTTAATTTTAGTCTGTGTCTTTTTTTCTTTGCAGATAGAACCGCTGTAGAAAAATTAAGAGCTATTTGTTTAGACCATGCAAAATTTGGAGAAGGCGAACTTAGTCCTCCTCTTGACTCTCTTTTCTTTGGTCCTTCTGCCTCCCAAGTTCTATACCTAACAGAGGTTAGTTTTTGCCTTTGCAAAAATATAATTTTTACATTATACAGTAATGTAAAGAACACTGACAAGACTGGAACGAAGGTTTTTTAAATAGTCAAGAATTTCTTAGCAGTGATAAGAGGAGAAATAGATGTTACAAAGTTTTTTTAAATCCCTTTTAATATAGTCTCTTTTTTTTTTTCAGGTAGCTTATGCCTTGTTAATGCCTGCTGGTGCACCTCTAACTGATGGGTCCTCTGCCTTTCAAGTTCACTTCTTGAAACATGGTGGCTTACCCCTTGTACTGAGTATGCTAATAAGAAATAACTTCTTATCAAATACAGATATGGAAACTCGAAGGAGTGCTTATTTAAATGCTCTTAAAATAGCCAAACTCTTGTTAACTGCCATTGGCTATGGCCATGTTCGAGCTGTAGCAGAAGCCTGTCAGCCAGTTGTAGATGGTACAGATCCTATAACACCGGTAATAAATGTTAAAAAAAAAAAAAAACTTATAAATATATGTATGTAGTTTAATATATGTAGTTTTTAATATTTAATAAATCTAAACTGTATCTTTTAAGTAGATGATTCAAATAATTCAAAATATAACATTTTTTTCTATTAAGTCGATTTGTATTAAAAACGTAAAGATTGATTACTGATTTTACTATGTTAAGTGAACTTCCCAGTCTCTTTAAATCCTTTTTTTACTTTCAGTTGTTTAATGAAAACTTCACCTGAATCTTTTGTTAAATCATACCGGAAAGATATGTAAAGACAGTTCATTATATAGAAGAATATATTATTGCCATGCTGCAAGCCTCTCTTCCACCATGACTAAGAATCTCTCTCTGCTTTGCCATTAGCCTTGAGCAGCATCACCAACAGTTCTCAAGATGTGCCTAGATTAGATGCAAAGGCTGAGTTCAGCTCTAACCAAAATTAAGTCACTTCTCTTATAAGTGATGGTTTTACTAATTACTACTTGGAGATAAAGTGGTTCAGGGACACAGATTTATTATGTGTAATCTGTTAATGAGGGATATTTGAATAGTGACAATTTTATGTGTATTCTAAATTTACTAATTTTATCTTAGATATTAGTTGTGTTGTCATAACTGACCTAAACAAAATGGCACATTTGCTTCGCAGTTAATTCTGAGGTAGTGTAAGTCTAGGTTTGCTTCTCGAGCAGTCAGTGAAGCAAGTTTAACCTTTTGTTAATAATTATTGAAGCTAGATAATGGATATTTGAGGATTTATTATATTCTTTTTTCTGCTTTTGTATATTTTTGAAATTTTTCATTTGAAAAAAGGATAAAAAGAAGAAATGGGTCTTGTACATGTTAATTTAGATTATAAATTTACATAGCTCTGTCTCCATCCTGAGTAAGTTTTGTTGCTTTATATTGTGGGCTTTATGCATATTTACATAAAAAGAGGTTCTTACTGTCCTTGTGATAGGAGTTAACTGAGATACAAATAAGATGCTTTTTGTGTCTTCTTAGACATTTCTTTGTGCATTAAGAAATGTGCTACTGAAGGACACAGATAATACATAATAATCTCTAATCATATTCTAGTAAAGAGCTGAAAAAAACTAGTATTTAAAATATGTTTAATACACAACTGCCTACAGTACTTACAATACGTTACACTTTGAGAAATAGGAAAACTTGAAGAAAATTCTAATCATGTTTCTCTCATAGATGTAAAAGCTTTTTATACTGCTAAGTAAAATGTTATAGTACTTTTTGCACATTACATGTCTGTTATTCCTTAATTAACATGATTATTTTCCATGGAGAAATTTTGAATAGAGAATATTTGGTTCTGCCAGTATTACAGTAAAAATAGTTATTTTTGACCTTTGAGGCATTTCTAATCCTTTATTTGCTACAGTGTTGAATTGGAGAGTTAATATGTGAACAGTAGTAAGACAGTTTCAGTGTCAAAATAAATGACACAAGACTTTGCTGACATGGAAAACTTTACTTAGGTTAGAAAAATTTAGATTAGCAAAATTCAGCTCACAGTTTTTAAGCACTTTATTAATTCAACAAGTAATGTATTATGTATCTATTATCTACTGTATACTGGATATTGCTAAAGATGCACTGTAGACCTCACCTTACATAATTTCTATCTGCATACAGGCTGATTTATTGGATAATAATGATCAAAATATATTGCATTCTTTTTGCCAGTCACTGTGCATTATCCCCTTTAATCATGAAGATAGCTATATTTGTTGTCTCTGCTATTACATTTTCTTTTTTAAGACAGCGTCTCACTCTGTCTCCCAGGCTGGAGTGCAGTGGAGCAGTCTTGGCTTACTGGAACCTCCATCTCCTGGATTCAAGTGATTCTCCTGCCTCAGCCTCCCGAGTAGCTGGGACTACAGGCACCCATCACCACACCCAGCTAATTTTTGTATTTTTAGTAGAGATAGGGTTCCATGTTATTGTCCAGGCTGGTCTTGAACTCCAGACCTCAGTTGATCCACCCACCTTGGCCTCCCAAAATGCTAGGATTACAGGGATGAGCCACTGAGCCCGGCCCTTGCTATTAACTCCTATTTCATAAGTGAAAATTGAGACCTGGAATCTATGAAGCAGCTTGGTCCAAGATGATAACCGTCAGCTGATATTTTTAACTCAGTGAAGCTGCTGACTTAAAAACTACATTTTTACCACCTTTCAGTACTACTTTTTTTGTGAAATTTTATGTGGTATCAGTTGGCAAATCATTTTGAAAATTTTACTGAAAAATGAAAATAATATGTATGTAACTGATAAATTTTAAAGTTCTTTGGTTGAAATTGGAAGCAGTGGATAGAAATAGTTGATCTGTTCATCTTTGCCCACCTGACAATTGCAGTAACAGCTTCCTCAGACTCTTGAATTTCTGAAAATACCTGCTTTAATACAGCTTTTTAAAACTTTAGGCCTGGTACAGTGCCTTGTGCTTGTAATCCCAGCACTTTGGGAGGCCTAGTGGGACAGATCATTTGAGGTCAGGAGTCCAAGACTAGCCTGGGCAATATGGTGAAATCCTGTCTCTCCTAAAAATACAGTCATTAGCCAGGCATGGTGGTATGTGGCTTTAACCTCAGCTACTTGCGAGGCTAAGACAGGAGAATCGCTTGAACTCAGGAGGACGACGTTATAGTGAGTTGAGGTTTTACCACTGCATACCAGCCTGGGCAACAGAGTAAGACACCATCTCAAATATAAAAAAAATAAAATAAAACTTTACTGTGTAAATAAGAGTGTTAGAGAGGATGGCAGGTTAAACTGAGAAACTTTAGCTTGTCTGTTAAATGAGCATTAGAATGCAGGTGGCATTATCAGCCTTGAGCAAAATAAGAAGCACTGTAAAGACTAAGTTTGTAGATTTTAAACAACTGTTTACTAGTATCCCCAGTTTTCTTCCTGTTATGGTAGGCATAGTCATTTGTTGAAATGGGGTTTGGAAGAAGCTTCTACCCAGAAATATGTTGTGTCATTTATTCCCTGCAAATGACCCGAAGTGCAGAAATAATAATAGAATTCATCTTTAATTGGAGTTGCAGGGTGTTTGTATGTGTGTAGTTTATTTCACTTTGAGAAATATTCAATGTATAGCAATTCCACATTATGTTAATCCATTTGTCTGTTGATGGACATTTGGATTATTCCTAGTTTTGGCTAATGGGAGTGAAACTATTAGGAAACTCATCAATAAATCATAGAGCTTCTGTGGATATATGTTTTATATCTCCTGGGTAAAGACATCTGCACCTCTGTCACTTTGAAAGGCAATTCCGTAATGTTGGCCATGTGAAATAATTTTTGTGCAAACTTCCATAAACTCTATAGGGATAAGTTAAGGAATAACCTTCAGGTATTTTCAGATGAGGAGTATAAGGCTGAGTTTTTATGGAAAATTTTTAGGAATTATAGTATAGTTTTTTAATTTGATGTAAAATTATTATCTTTTTCAGATTAACCAAGTAAATCATGATCAAGCAATGGTGCTACAAAGTGCCCTTCAGAGCATTCCTAATCCCTCATCTGAGTGCGTGCTTAGAAATGAGTCAATACTTCTTGCTCAGCAAATATCTGATGAGGTTAGTATGAAACTTTGACTGTTGTGGGATCCTGAGTGTTTTCGGTTTACACATAAATAAATAAAGCTATAACAGTGTGTGGCTAAATATTGTAGACCCAAAGCACTCTAGTTTCTATCTCAATTTATTTACAGTTTCATAAAGTTATGATTGACCTGATAACTACTGATAACATTAGAATTTTAGAAATTTTAACATTTTTAAATAAACTTTTTGAGTTATAATTTATATTGCACAAACTAGACCAAATTGGTTTTGGTATATGTTTAAACTACTCACCGAAGCAAGGAATAGGACATTTATTTTGGCTTCAAAAGTTTTCTTATAATGTTTATTCTCTTAAATTTTGCATAAATGGAATCTTATATGTGGTACTCTTTTTGTGTTTGGCTTATATCCGTCAACATAATTTTGAAAATCATCCATGTTGTTATATATGTGTGTAGTTTATTTCACTTTGCGTAATACTCCATGTATTGTTACTCCACAGGTTGTTAATTAATTCATCTGTTGATAGACATTTAGATTATTCCTAGTTTTGACTGTTGTGAATAAAACTGTTAGGAAACCCATCAAGATATAGTGTTTTTGTGAACATATGTTTTTCTATCTCCTGGGTAAACACTTCTGCATAGCATAGCTAAGTAATTTGACTGTTTTCTATTCTTAAAATTTTATGAAAAATAGTATAGAGCCATATCAGACTTTAACTTAAAGCATATTTTGTAGGTACTGCTCTATATTCCCCTCATGTGGGAAGTCACATTTTTTGACTTAATGTTAAGATATCAAAAAAATGCAGCAAAGGCAGTTTTTGACCTTGTAAGTTTGATGCATGCTTACTTTTATTACCAGTTCTATTTCTTTCACAAAGAAAAATGTTATGTTTTCCTAATTATTCACTTTAATATTCATTCTATCAGGACTTTTAATTACTTATTTTTTTTTCTGCAGGCCTCAAGATATATGCCTGATATTTGTGTAATTAGAGCTATACAGAATATTACCTGGGCATCAGCATGTGGCTCACTAGAACTAGTATTTAGCCCAAACGAAGAAATAGCTAAAATTTATGAGATGGTAAGAATTACTGTAGAAATAGATTTTAAGACAATGTTGCTTGATTTTACATGTGATTAAATTTTCATCATTTTTGTCATCTTTAAAGACCAAGTGACTTATATCTAGCAGTGTAAAAGTAATTTCTACCTATAGATAAAATGAGAGTATAAACAACTTTATTTTGAAATAAAAATAGTTCAGAAGGCTGCCATGAGGCAGTTTTCTTTTCCTTTTTAAAAAAGACTTCTAATTGACTCAAATATAGTCACACTTAAATGAATCCACAGCTCACTATTTTCTTTACTTCTTCTTTTCTTTGTGATTTTGTCCCGTGTAAATTTTTGCTAATTGTTTCTTTGGGAATCATGGCATTTAAATTTTACTTGGAGCCAGGCATGGTGGTTCTGCCTGTAATCTCAGCACTCTAGGAGGCTGAGGTGGCAGGATCGCCTGGGGTCAGGATTTCGAGACCAGCCTGACCAACATGGTGAAACCCCATCTCTACGAAGAAAAAAATAAAAAACTTAGCGGCACGTTGTGGCACACACCTGTAATCCCAGCTGTGTGGTATGCTGAGACATGAGAATTGCTTGAATCCAGGAGGCATTGAGTTAAGATCACGCCTCTGCACTCAAGCCTGAGTGGCAGAGCTGGATTCTGTCTGGACTCATACATACATACATACATACGTACATCATACATACATACATACAGGTTTTACTTGGTTCTGTTACAACACCGGAAAGCAGGAAGAGTGTCTACCATTTAAGTATTATGACCAGACTTTTTGTAGATTAAACAAGCTATTTACAGAAATAAGACTGTCTTTAGCTCTTTGACGTCTATGGTATTTACCTACTCACCCCTGTAGACCGCTGATGGTCTATTTTTAAATATTCATTAGTGTATTTAAATACACATTCGTAAAAGGAGAAAGTGAGTGATGGCATTACACAACTTCCCTTTTTGGAATATTTGAATGATTAATTCTGTTCCAGATATACAAGTCTTGATTACTTTTTGATGGATAGAGGCAGATTAAAAATTATTAGCTACTTAGTTGATTGTATTTAGGTTGCACATTTTTATTCTGATCGGTTTTTGATTGGGATTTTTTTTTTCTTATTATACTTTGAGTTCTGGGTTACATTTGCAGATCTTGCAGGATTATTGTATAGGTATACCATATACCATGGTGGTTTGCTGTCTCTATGTCCCCCCATCACCTAAATAAGCCATTTCTCCCAGTGTTATCCCTCCCCAACCTCCCTGCTCCTGCCATTATTCCCCTAGTTCCTCACTCCCCAACATATCCCTGTGTGCGATGTTACCCTCCCTGTGTTAACGTGACTTCATTGTTCACCACCCACCTGTGAGTGAGAACATGCGGTGTTTGTTGTTCTGTTGTTGTGTGAGTTTGGTGAGCATAGTGGTTTCCAGATTAATCGATGTCCCTGCAAAAGACACAAACTGATCATTTTTTATGGCTGCATAGTATTCAAATATGGGATTATGTGAAAAGACCAAATCTACATTTGATCAGTGTACCTGAAAGTGATGGGGAGAACAAAACCAAATTGGAAAACACTCTTCAGGATATTATCCAGGAGAACTTCCCCAACCTAGCAGGGCAGGCCAACATTTAAATACAGGAAATACAGAGAACACTGCAAAGATACATCGAGAAGAGTAACCCCAAGGCACATAATCATCAGCTTCACCAGTGTTGAAATGAAGAAAAAAACGCTAAGGGAAGTCAGAGAGAAAGGTTGGGTTACCCACAAAGGGAGGCCCATCAGTTTCTGCCAGTTCACTCAGTAGAAACCCTACAAGGCAGAAGAGAGTAGAGGCCAATATTCAGTATCCCAAAAGAAAAGAATTTTCAACCCAGAATTTCACATCAAGCCAAACTAAGCTTTGTAAGCGAATAAGAAATAAAATCCTTTATGGACAAGCAACTTCTGAGAGATTTCGTCACCACCAAGCCTGCCCTACAAGAGCTAAAGGAAACACTAAACATGAAAAAGGAACAACCAGTACCAGCTACTGCAGAAATAATTGTAAAGAGCATCGACACTGTGAAGAAACTGCATCAACTAATGGACAAAACAACCAGCTAGCATCAAAATGGCAAGATGAAATTCACACATAACAAATTAACCTTAAATGTAAATGGGCTAAATACCCCAATCAAAAGACACAGACTGGCAAATTGGACAAACAGTCAGGACCCATTGGTGTGCTGTATTGAGGAAACCCATTTCACACATAAGTTCAAAATAAAGGGATGGAAGAAAATTTAACAAGCAAACAGTAAAAAGCAGGGGTTGCGATTCTAGTCTCTGATAAAACATATTTTAAAGCAACAAAAATCAAAAGAGACAGGGGCATTACAAAATGGTAAAGGAATTAATGCAACAAGAATAGCTAACTATCCTAAATATATGTGCAGTCAATACAGGAGCACCCAGATACATAAAGCAAGTTCTTAATGACATCCAAAGAGACAGCCACACAATAATAGTGGTAGACTTTTAACACCCCACTGTCTATACTAGACAGACAAATGAGACAGAAAATTAACAACGATATTCAGGACTTGAACTCATACCTGGAACAAACAGACGTAGACATCTATAGAACACTCCACCCCAAAAACACAGAGTACGCATACAGTCTTCTCAGCACCACACCACACTTATCTAAAATTGACCACATAATTGGTAGCAAAATAATTCTCAGCAAATGCAAAAGAATGGAAATATAACAAACAGTCTCTTAGGCCACAGTGCAATCAAATAAAACTCAGGATTAAGAAACTCATTCATAACCACACAATTGTATGGAACTGAACAACCTGCCCCTGAATGACTACTGGATAAATAATGAAATGAAGGCAGAAATAAAGATGTTCCTTGAAACCAATTAGAATGAAAACACAACATACCAGAATCTCTGAAACATGTTTAAAGCAGTGTCTAGAGGGAAATTTATAGCACTAAATGCCCACCGGAGAAGTGAAGAAAGATATAAAATTGACACCCTAACACCACGATTAAAAGAACTTACAGGAGCAAGATCAAACAAATTGAAAAGCAACAAAAAACATTCCATGTTCATGGTCAGGAAGAATCAATATGAAAGTGGCCATACTGCCCACAGTAATTTATAGATTCCATTCTATCCCCATCAGCTACCAATAACCTTCTTCACAGAATTGGAAAAAAAAACCTTAAACTTCAGATGGAACCAAAAAAGAGCCCACATAGCCAAGACTATCCTAAGCAAAAACAAAACAAAGCTGGAGACATCACGCCACCTATCTTCAAACTGTGTTACAAGGCTACTCTGATCAAAACAGCATGGCACTGGTACCAAAACAGAAATATAGACCAATGAAACAGAACAGAGGCCTCAGAAATAATGCTATACATCTAAAAACTGATGAAAACAAGCAATGGTGAAAGGATTCCCTATTTAATAAATGGTGTTGGGAAAACTGGCAGTCATATGCAGAAAGCTAAAACTGGATCCCTTCCTTACACTTTATACACAGATTGACTCTAGGTGGATGAAAGATTTAAACATGAGGTCTAACACCTTAAAAACTCTAGAAGAAAACCTAGGCAGTACCATTTAGGACATAGGCATGAGCAAGGACCTCATGACTAAAACACCAAAAGCCAAAATAGACAAATGGGATCTAATTAAACTTAAGAGCTTCTGCACAGCAAAAGAAACTACCAATAGACTGAACTGGCAACCAACAAAATGGGAACAAATATTGGTAATCTACCCATCTGACAAAGAGCTAATATCCAGAATCTACAGAGAATTTAAACAAATCTATGAGAAAAAATAGATTTGCCCACATCTATCAAAATGTGGGCAAAGGATATGAACAGATACTTTTCAAAAGAAGACATTTATGCAGCCAACAAATATGAAAAAAAGCTCATCATCACTGGTCATCTGAGAAATACAAATCGAAACTACATTGAGATGCCACCTCACGCCAATTAGAATGGCGATCATGAAAAATCAGGAGACAACAGATGCTGGAGAGGATGTGGAGAAATAGGAACACTTTGACACTGTTATTGGGAGTGTAAGTTAATTCAACCATTGTGGAAGACAGTGTGGCGATTCCTCAAGGATCTAGAAATAGAGATTCCATTCAAGCCAGCAATCTCATTACTGGGTATATACTGTATACCCAAAGGATTATAAGTCATGCTGTTACAAAGACACATGCACACATACATTTATTGCAGCACTGTTCACAATATCAAAACTTGTAACCAACCCAAATGCCCATCAGTGGTAGACTGGATAAAGAAAATGTGACACATATACGCCATGCAGTACGATGTAGCTGTAAAAAAGGATGAGTTCATGTCCTTTGCAGGACATGGCTGAAACTGGAAACCATCATTCTCAACAAACTGATACAAGAACAGAAAACCAAACACTGCATGTTCCCACTCGTAAGTGGGTATTGAACAGTGAAAACACTTGGACACAGGGAGGGGAACATCACACACTGGGATCTGTTGGATGGAGGGCTAGGGAAGGAATAGCAAGGGATGGAGGGCTTTGGGGAGGGATAGCATTAGGAGAAATACCTAATATAGATGACAGGGTGGTGGATGCAGCAAACCACCAACATGTCACTTGTATACCTATGTAACAAACCTACATGATCGGCACATGTACCCCAGAACTTTGAAGGATAACAAATAAATGTTTTAAAAAAGATAATCTCTGGGAAAAAGCACAAAAATGTAGAAATAGCCCATAAATGGACTAAGAAAAGGACACTTTTTACATAATGGGAGTTGAAAGAAGAAGGCAGAGAATCACCTTGCTCAACTTCATTTGGGAACATGTGCCTTGGATGACTCATATTTTTCTCTGTTGTTAGCCTGTTATGAAAGCATTGTGAGTACTGACTTTGGTCAACAAGTGCATGTTAGCAAAAAGATCAATTAGCAAATACAGTATCTGTGAACAACAACAACAAAATGAAATTACTTGTAGTTAGGCTCTGCAATAGAACTAGTCAAAGACGCAAACTGCAATGCCACAGTGATTCTCTAGTAGCTATAATGATTGAAGCAGATCACTCATATCCAGATGAACAAAAAAAGTGAGGAATACCTGTCACTAAATATGCTTTTTGAATCCCAATTGGGGCATATTCCAAAGACACTCTGTAGCCACAAGTGAAGAGTCTGGGGCTGCATGGTCTTTACTGAGTAGATAGTTGTCAATGATAGCTAGAGGATTTGTGACTTTCTTCTTGAATATATTTCTGGATAATTTGCTCCTGATTCTAATTTTGCAGACCACCAATGGAAGCCATGAGCTGGAGGTGGAAGATGAACACGTTTGCTGTGAAGCACTGGAAGTGATGACCTTATGTTTTGCTTTATGTCCGACAGCTTTGGATGCACTTAGTAAAGAAAAGCCTTGGCAAACATTCATCATTGACTTACTGTTGCACTGTCCAAGCAAGTATGTGATTTTCAAATTTAATTTGAAGGAAGACTCACATTACTGTGTGAAGCAGAAATGGATGACTTATAAAGAAAATTTTTTTCTAGAAATGAAGGAAGGAACCCTTTTCTTTGCCCATGTAACACCTTGAACTATTGAAGAGATTTTTAAAACAAATATGTTCCACTTAAATTTGTTTTTATCTCTGCAAGATGCCAGCATTATTATTATTTTTAATATTTTTTATTGTGGTAAAATATATAATATGCATAACACAAAATTAACCATTTTAACCTCTTTTAAGTTAGCATTGTTTAGTGGCATTAATTGCACAATAGTATGTAGCTATGACTGACATATTGAATGATTGCAATATTGTGTGATCATTACTACTATGTCTCCGAACTATTTTATCACCCTCCAAAAAGTTTTTTAAACAATGACTCCCATTTTCAGTACTCTCCAATCTCTGGTAACTTAAAATATTCATTCAGTTTCTATGAATTTCCTATTTTAGGTACCTCATGTAAGTGGAATCAAACAAATTTGTATGTTTTGTTTCTAGTTTGTTAGCATAATGTTTTAAAGGTTCATCTATGTTGTAGCATGTCAGAACTTGATTCATTTTCAGAGGTGAGTGATACTGTCTTGTCTTGTATCTATATACTAGATGTTGTTTATGCATCAGGCTGTTGATAGACACCTGGATTATTGTGAACGTAACTATGAGCACAGATCTCAGTTTCTATTCTCAGAGCTGTTGAGCATATTTCTAGAACTGGGTATGCTGGGTCATGCAGTAAACTGTGTATAACTTTTTAATGATCTACTGAACTTTGTATTTTGTTTTTTACTTTTGTTTGTTTTGTTTTGTTTTTTTGGTGACCTGTACGGGGAACAAACCTGCTAAACTTTTTTAACATTGGCTTCACCACTTTACATTCCCAACATCAACTTACACAGGCTTCAGTTTCTCCACATCCTCTCCCGCACTGTTTTCACTTTTATTGATGGCCATCCTAATGTATGTAAGATAGAACCTTATTGTGGTGTGTATTTGCATTTTCCTAGTGACTAATGTGGTGATATTGAACATCTGCTCTTGTGGTATTACTGAACACTGGTATATCTACTTTAGAGAAATGTATATTCCATTTTTTATACTATGTTGAATTTTATACCATTGTTGAATTTGATTATTTTTTGTAGTGAGCTTCTTCATATATAATGGATGTTGATTCCTTAACAGGCTAATGATTTATAGACATTTTCTTCTGTTCTCTAGGATTTATTTCTACTTTGCTGATAATATTCCTTTATGCACAGAAGTTTTTAATTTTCATGAGATTTTTAAATTTTCATGAGAAATTAATTTCTGTCTTTTTTGGTTGCCTGTATTTGCATCATCTTCAGTATGAATCATTGGCAAATATAGAGCAAAAGCTGTTTTCTCCTACATTGTTTTTGAAGAATTTTATATTTTTATAGTTCTTAATTTAGGTCTTTGATTTAATTTGAGTTGATTTTTATGAGTGATGTGAAGCTAAGTGTGCAGCTCCATTCTTACGAATGTGAATATCCAGCTTCAGTTATCATTATCTGAACAGAGTGGTCTTAACCCATTGAGTGGTCTTGGCACTTTTTTGAAGATAAAAGGGATTGTTTCTAGGCTCTGAATTATATTCCTTTAGTCCATATGCCTGTCCTTAGGCCAGTGCCTGATTGCTTTAGCTTTGTCGTACATCAGGAAATGTGAATCCTTCAACTTTGCTGGGGTTTTTGGTTTGTTTGTGTTTTGGTTTTATATAGAGTTTTATTTGTTTTTGTGGTTATGTGGACCTTTCTGAGTTCTGTGAAAATCCATATAAATTTTAAGTTGGGAGGTTTTTTTCTATTACACAAAAAGCTCTTTTTTTCAATTACAAAAATAAATGCTATTTTGAGAGTGATTGCATTGAATCTCTCTCAAAAGAGTAATTGCCACTTAACAGTATTAAGTCTTCCAAACATTAACATTGGATGTCTTTTCATTTACTTACGTTGTATTTATTTCTTTTAATGCTCATTTCTTCTCTGCTAAATTATTTCTAAGTACTTTATTGCTAACTTGCTCTTTTTGCTGCTTTTGTGGATGGAATTGTTTTCTTAATTTCCTTTTGAGTGTTCATTGCTAGTATATAGAACAATAACTAATTTTTTTTTATTGATTTTTTTCATCCTTCAATTCTGTTAAATTTCTTTGTGGATTAGAGGTTGTTTTACAGAAAGATCATGTCACTTGCAAATAACATAGTTTTACTTCTTTCTTTCCTTTTTGGGCCAGTTTTATCTTTTCTCTTTTTTGCCTAACTGCTCTACTGGTTTGATTAGAAGTAGTAAGAGCAACGATGCTTGTCTTGTTCCTGATTCAGGAAAAGCTTTTAGTCTTTCACCATTTTGTGATTTTGTTATTCCTGATGCAGACCCCTAGATAGGATTCCTGGACCTCAGTCAAGTCCACAGAGTTAAAGTGACATAAAGTTTTATGGTGATTTCTTGATTATATTTGAAACAGAGTGTTTATTTATGGTAAACAAGTGGATTATTCCTGGATTTTCTGGGTAAGGTGTGGGAATCTGTTGCTCCCCAACCCCAACTCACCTGAGAGTTTCTCCCTTTTTTGAACCATATAGGATAATGTCTGGATGGTGCCTACAGTGTTTGCAAAGTGATAACGGGGCTCTCAGGAGTGTCTTTTAGCAAGCTAATGCACTGTATGCATTGGTGTATGATGAGCCAGCTTCTTTACTGCTTCCTGTTGTATTAGCAAGGTCTTTGTGTTCTGCATCTTATGTGGACTTCCTGTCTCATCCTGTAAGAATGCCTAATCTCTTGAGAATGCAACCCAGTAGGTGTCAGCCTTATTTTACCCAGAGCCCATCCAAGTGGGAATTACTATGGTTCAAATACCTGTGACTCTTTTAGCTATTAGTTTTTCATATATGGCCTTTATGGTGTTAAGAACTTCTCCTGTTTTCCTAGTTTTTGAAATGAGTTTTACTATGAAAAGATGTTTACACTTGTTTGGCTAATTTTTTTCTTTTTTTTGAGACGGAGTTTTCTTCTTGTTGCCCAGGCTAGAGTGCAATGGCGCAGTCCTTAGCTCACTGCAACCTCCGCCTCTCAGGTTCAAGTGATTGTCCTCTCTTGGCCACCTGAGGAGCTGGAATTACAGGTGCCCTTCACTATGCCCTGCTAATTTTGGNACTGCAACCTCTACCTCCCAGCGATTCTCCTGCCTCAGCCTCCTGAGTAGTTGAGATTACAAGTGCCCACCACCACGCCTGGCTAATTTTTGTATGTGTAATATAGACAGGGTTTCACCAAGCTGGTCTTGAACTCCTGATCTTGGGTTATCTGCCCACCTTGGCCTCCCAAAGTGCTGGGATTATAGGGTTAAGCAACTGTGCCTGGCCTGGATAATTTTGTTTAATTAAGTGAGATGACCATGTTATTTTCTTTATTGTATTTCTGATGATATTTTTATTCTTCCTGATCCAGATCGTAAGAGAGGGTTCTTGGATCTTATGGAAGAAAGGATTCAGGGTGATCCCATAAAGTAAAAGCAAGTTTATTAAGAAAGTAGAGGAATAAAAAAATGGCTATTCCGTAAGCAGAGCACCTGCAAGGGCTGCTGGTTACCCATTTTTGTGATTATTTGTGAATATATGCAAAACTAGGGGTGGGTTATTCCTGCTTCCCATTTTTATAACATAAGGGTAACTTCCTGACATTGCCATGGTGTTTGTAAACTATCATGGTGCTAGTGGAACTGCAGCAATGATTTCCTGTCTCATTGCTGTCTTGGCTTTGTTGGGGTTTAACTGGCTTCTGTACTGCAACCTGTTTCATCAGCAAGGTCTTTATGATCTGTATCTTGTGACAACTTTCTGTCTCATCCTTTGACTTAGAATGCTTAACTGACTGGGAATGTAGCCTTTTTTACCCAGCCTCTGTTGGAGTTGAAATTGGTCTGGTTCAGAGGCTTCTGACAATATATCAAAAATAAATTGGTATATTTAAGCACCCATATATTCTTGATAAATTCCACACTTCAAGCCAGGCGTGGTGACTCATGCCCGTTAATACCAGCATTTTTTGAGGCTGAGGTGGGCGGATCACGGGAGGTCAGGAGTTCGAGACCAGACTGGACAACATGAGGAAACCCCATCTCCACTAAAAACACAAAAATTAGCTGGTGTGATGGCGGACACCTGTAATGCCAGCTATCAGGAGGCTGAAGCAGGAAAACTGCTTGAACCTAGGAGGCGGAGATTGCAATGAGCCAAGATTGTACAATCCAGCCTCAGTGACAGAATAAGACTCTGTCTCAAAGAAAAAAAAAAAAGATCCACACTTTGCCATGGTACCTCATACTTTTAATATGCTACTGGATTTGTTGCTAACATTTTATTGAGGATTTTTGCATGTATATTGTTGTCAATGAAAAGAGTCAAACTCTGTAAAATTTTGAAGAAATTTATGCTGAGCCAAATATCAGTGACCATGGTTTGTGACATAGCTCTCAGAAAGTCCTGAGAACATATGCCCAAGGTGGCTGGGGCACAACTTGATTTTATGCATTTTAAGGAGACATGAGACAGCACTCAAATACATTTAAGAAATATACTGGTTTGGTCCAGAAAGGTAGGACAACTCAAAAGTGGGTTAACAGGGGCTTCCAGGCTATCGGTAAATGCAAACATTTTTTGGTTGACAGTTGGTTTTAAGTTTATTCAAACACCTGGGATTACAGAAAGCACTGTTCAGGTTAAGATAGGCCTGGCAAAGTGGATCATGCCTGTAATCCTAGCACTTTGGGAGGCCGAGGTGGGCAGATCATGAGGTCAGGAATTCAAAACCAGTCTGGCCAGTATGGTGAAATCTCATCTCTACTAAAAATATAAAACAAATTAGCCAGGCATGTTGGCATGCACCTGTAGACCAGTTATTTAGAAGGCTGAAGCAGAAGAATTGCT